AAAAGGAGGAGGAAAAGAGGAGGAAAAGAGCTCATCTTTTCTCGTTTCGTCTTGTTTTCTCTCGTCTCTCGTCAGTTTTGACCCATAGGTTAATTCCGATTCCGAGGACAAGAGAATGCAACAATGTATTCTCTTTCCTCAACGAAAATGTATAAAAATGTAATATCACCCATAATACCCAAGCCAAGGGTATAGAAAATATTGTACATTCACGAACCTATCAAAAAATTCGGGACGCCACTGGAATAATCAAGCCTATTTTAATTACAGTTCCAATAAGATAGGCATTTTGTATTTGTGATATAAACAGATTTTTTGAAGTGAAACTTCTTAGGCGGCGGTCTGATATTTGAAGAATGATTTAAAAGACGCGTCACGTTTTGGCAAATTTCGTTACACGAGAGAGAGGAAAGATACAACGTAGAGACGGAGAAAGACTGTTCCAACATTGATTGTCACGAACCAACGATTATAAGCGCAAAGAGGATTGCCTATTATTGTCATGTGCCAATACTCTTGTAATGTCACTACAGATGCGCAACTTCCTTTGGGTGGCACTTCGTCTGTCTAGAAGTTGTATGAGAGGAGCCGGGGGGTAGTTTTTAAGAAGTTCCACTTCTACTACGTGTATAGCAAGGGGACTATGTAACGAATAGATTTCTATTGACGTCCCCTTTCTATTGATTTCGAAAAGAGATAAGAAGACAGCAAGTGCCAGAGCGATACAGATAACGATCTCTATCCGTTACATTGTCCCAGTGCGGGTTTTTTTTTTCCCCTAAAATATAACTCTCTGTATTGTTTCCGTACACATATTTCTAAGAATTTTTACGAAATATAAGGAATCGCACCTTGATGTTAGGGACCCAACTTTGGAAACACCCTGTATATATGAATAACTAATTTATTTTTTTAGATATTTCTTAAAGTCACTGGGAACATTTTGCTTGCATACAATTTAGACAGAAAGTTATGTATACACATAGAATAAAACGTTCCTAATTTAATTTTTTTAGGCATTTAAAATTTAAAATTCATATTGCTCAGGAGAGCAGAGAGCTCGAGAAATTCTCAATGAGAGACAGCATTCTCTCGACTCGTCGCTAAGTGAGTATTCGAGAGAAAATTGGTCTCTCGTCTCGCCGAAACGAAACGAGACTCTCTGATCTTGAGGGCATCACTATACCCACGCTTGCAGTTCTAAAATCATCATTACTCAGATGTTACTATCAGTGCATAGGATGGTATAGAGAGACATACTTTCCTATACATGTTTACCACCAGCAGCGGAATATGGGTGGAAATTGGTTAATGGTCATCTACTGTGCATTCCACATTAAAAGTCACACATACCAGCTGTAGTGATTACTGAAATTTTAATCAAGAATAACAAGGACTTACGGAACAATTATACCAGGAGAGATCATCACTTAGACATTACAACCAGAAACTTCAATTAAAAATTATCTGAACATCGATATCCAGAAATTATTGAAAGCCGATATTGACTAATATATTGGAATGTGAATAAAGCAAAAGTTCAGGGACCTTTTTTTCAAGTGCTTTCAACAATTAACATTCCAAAGGAGCCGAAAAATTTCTAAAAGGATCAATAAATCATGCACGAGCCTATATGATGATACCCACTTAACAAACCACTTAGCGACGCCCTTGATAATTAATTAAAAAGGCACCAAATACCAGAAACAATAAAGAAATTCAAGACAATGGAGGGACCAATGATAAAAAAAGGCAACTTTGGTAGGAGAAAATCAGTGTTCGAGAAAGCGCGAGTAAACCGGCAGAACTACGGCGTGAACGACCAGTATCGGTTGAGTAATATTGAAAATATTCGAGTTTTTTTATTAAATGTTTATAATTAAAGTGAACCAATGAGATTTCCATATAATAAGGTGTGGCCAACAGTAAATATATTATTGTTAAATGTAAGTAGAGTTTTTTATGTTCAGCCAGAAATTGTAAAGGCAAGAGTGTGAATCGAGTCAAACTGTAAATAATTTATTTTTAATATATTTGTGTTTTACTCTCCACCCGCAAATAGGACCCAATTTAAACTGTTTCCACTCAGAAACTAAAGTCACCGCTCGCCAATTTAACATCTAGCCAAGTTTCTGAATTTGGAGTCTCACACAGCGTTAGATGTGCTCATGTGAAAGGAATCTTGATTTTTATGCAAATGTTGGGGTTTCAGTTCTAACCATATGAGCATAACGGATTGGTGAGAACTATAAAGAAGGTGGTGGGTGGTGAAAGTGAAATTCCACTCAGATTTTTAGAGATGCCTTTAATGCTGTAGGTTATCATTATCAATACTTTGCTTTCAAATGAGAAATTTGAGATCGGAGAAGTTATAAAAATAGGAGGGTCAACACTAATTAGAAAAATTCAAAATCTGTTCAATCCGTGTCTGCCCCTGCAGAGTCATATAACATTCCGGAAAAACTCAATTATGATCCCGCTACATACAGTCTGTCGATTTTAATCTGATATTCCAGAAGAATGTAAGAATGTGAGCTGGGACTCCATACGTTAAGAACGCCAATGGTCACCTGACGTCACACCTGTTTTTGACATATCATATGCATCACCTCCTCGCTCCTCATAGGAAAGTGTCAGATTAGAAACGAGGGACAATAAACAAGGTGATACAATTATAGACATGCTACAGACCATTAAGTCTTATCTATCACCTATACAAATTATATAGTCGCATAATGGTAAATTGATTTCTGCCAGGGCCGTATCTAGGGGGGGGTTTTGGGGGTTGAAACCCCCCCCAAAAAAATAATAAAATTCAAAAAATTTAACTTAAAAACAAACGACACTTATTAAATACTTAATTTTATATTTACATTTTTATTACTAGTGTAACAATTTTTTTTGTCACTTTGTCTAACCCCCCCAAAATATTGATCTAGATACGGCCCTGATTTCTGCTCTAGATTCGGTACCACCGATCACTTTCAGTGTTTCAAAATCCCTACAGAAAGATTGAATACAACCGTTCTTTGGTATTGATGTTTGTAGACTTTCAAAAGGCATTTGACACCGTGGAACTTCTTACAATCTTGAGATCACTAGAAGAAAGTATACAGTTAATTGTTCGGTATTGCGAAATTATTAAAAACATATATACGGTAATTCAACGAACACCGTAAATCTTCACTCCACCACCAGAAAAATTGAAATCGAAAGAGAAATTCGACCCAAGTTGTTCATCAGTTCTCGAACATGATTTTGAGATATAGCCTTGGAAGCGAAAAGGAATAATCATCCATAAGGAAAGTCTTGATAGTCTTCGCTTTGCAGATGATATTGTCCTAATATCAGACAGTCTGGGAGAAGCTAAAGAAATGCTCCAGGAACTTCAAAATTTCACGCAAGAAGTGGGCGTAAAGATGAACTTTTGCAAAACGGAAATGATTACTAATCTGGTTCCCAGTGAGCAAATCAGATAGGCAATAATAACGTGGAAATAGTGGACAAGTATATGTATAGCTGGGTCATGAGATCGGAATTCACAGAGATAACCATATGCGAATTGACGACAAGAATAACCTTGAGATGGGCAGCATTCAGAGTTAAGGGGTGACATTCCAATATCCCTGAAACAAGAAGAATGCAACCAGTGTGTCCTTCCAGTCCTGACTTATGGTGCGAAGACATTAACTCTCACCAAAGCATTAGTAGAAACGTTGAGAGTAAAGGGCCCCACACACTACGTTCTTTCTTATCGGTTTTCATCGTTACGATCAAGAACGTTGTGTTTCATCGTCAGCCTGTTTTCACCACATACTACGCGATTTTTTGGCGGCTGGACTCACCCTCGTGCCAAAAATCAAGCTCGGACTGAATTTCAAACCGACGATGAAACACGACGGTTTTCTACCACACACTTCGGTTTTATATCGTCGTGTTTCATCGCGGTGATGAAAACTGACGAGAAAGAACGTAGTGTGTGGACCACTTAACACAGAGACGAATGGAAAGATCCATGCTTGGTTGGATTAACTTTAAAAGACTGTTAATGCAAAATTATTTACAAATTTTGTTTCTTCTCATTCTTATTAAAGAATTACTTGAATGTCAATTTTGCGTAAAACACACAGGAGTGTATTTTCTACGATCCTGCGCCGAAGCGCATAGCTGTTGAAGATTTGGATTTACATACACTAGATAAATGGTACTTGATATGCACGTTGCATTTTTACCGGTTTCGTGTTTTAAGCTCGAAAAAGTCAATGTCTTGTGCCGTTAAAAAGGGACCTTGAGTGCCTTAAGTCGATGGTGATACGTTGGTGGTTGGGGAGAACCGTTTTCCAGGGGATCCCTGTATATACGCACAGCTTATAAGAAAACCCAGGTGAGTGGTAATAACTTTTGTGTGTTTCGACAACCCTATGGTATCAATTTCATTTCAATTTCAATTTGTTTGCGCGATTTTCCAGTCTCAGTCCAGTTTACAAAATTTCAAATACTATTGCGTAAACAAAGACCGAGTAAGGAATAATGAGAACCGCATAAGAACTGGGGTGGACGATATTGTAGAACGTATCGCAAAACAAAAGAAATGGGTAAGTCTCGCAAGATCTGAGGATAAGAGATAGACAAAGAAACTTATTGAGTGGAGACCAAGAGCCGACAAACCAAACCGAGGAAGACCTTCTACTCGCTGGACAGACCAAAAAAGATTCTCATTAAATTGAATTGCAACTGCCAGAACAGAGACAACTGGAAAACTTTAGAAAAGGCTTATGTTCAACAATGGACGTGACAAGAGACTGTTTGATGAATATGATGATGATGACTGTTAAATACTAGATTTTTGTGATGAAATAACAATATCTTAGTGAGCAATCAATCAGGTTTATAAATGTACTGGCTGTGTTTTTACACTTTAAGAGAGCCTTTGAATTGGAACATATGTGAATAAGTTGACTGTATTCAGAAGAAAAAGAAAAAAACAAACATGATCTTACCTTTGAACTACAACTTTTATGTTGCTGCCGGCATTTCGGAACAAATTCTGAGCGTCTTCGTGTCCAATATCTCGAGAATCGTAATTTCCAACTTTACTGATGACGTCGCCCCTTTGCAGTAAGCCTTGTGCTGGAGAACCGAAAGCTACCTGGAACAATATTAGAAAAAAAGAAAAATCTATAAAGTTTCTACACATATACATAATTGGTTGATCATAAATCATTGATTATTTATAATGTATTAATTGACCATTGATCCTCGTGTTCTATTTAATAAAAGGATCGATTTTTGGATGGGTTCCAAGCCAAGGAATGGCCTCTATAAATAAATATCAAAATCGTCTATGTTTTTTTATTGAATTGACCCCCAAAAGCGATTATTATAAAAATAGTTTTTCATGGTTTTTCTATTTTTATACAGAGTATTTTATATTATGAAATTTTTTTTACTCTAATCTAACAGAAGGTTTCAATTTTTGTCTATTCCAAGCGCTATAAGCACTCTGAAGTAATTCTGAGGTGTTTAAATTGTTCTGAAGCCTTTCAAAATGCTGCTGGAAAGTGTAATGTTCTCGATGGCTTATTGAAGTTCTAAAGTATTCTAACTTGCTTGAAGAGTTCTGGAGCATTTTAGAAGTTTAATTTCTAAATTGTTCTGACACATTATTAAGTATTGAAGCTCCAAAGTGTTCTAAATTGGTTCAAAAAAGTTCTAAATTGAGTCCTAATTATTATGAAATAACTTTGAAGTTTCTCAATTGTTACGAAATACCTACTCCTGAAAATTTTGATTTGGATTTGACCTGTTTTGGATACTCATCAAAGGTTTAAAGTTCTACAACAATTTAAATTCGCAGTTGAATACTTGAAGGACTTCTTTAAGGTATTTTGTAACTTTTTTAACATGAATCTTAAGATTCTGGCACTTTTCAAAATGTTTCTAGATATTCTATGAGTGTTTTGGAACGTCCTGAACTGAGCTTCAAACTTCTGAATTGTTCTATTGAATAAAATTCAAACTCAAAACTTACTCTAGTAACAATAAGTGGCGTTTTAACATCAGAACCACCGACCAAACTAAATCCCCAGGGTTGATTTGGCGAATTCCTGCGCAAATCCACCACCAATTCCTGATGTTTTCCCATCAAACTTTTTTTACCGCACACGAAAACCAACACACACACTTTTTAAACAGTAAATATAAGCCAAAACGAAAATTTGTTTACTGGGCCTTGTGTTTCTGATTGACGCACGGCACGGATTAATATACACTTAACAATTTCCTAAGTTCTAAGGCCAAAAATCGATTTGGCATTGATTTGGGAACCTTCCTGGATGCAGCCAGTGTGTGCGGATTCGCCCCTCCTGTGGGTGTTGTGGTGCAGAAATAGCATTTCTGGCAGCACGAGCGGATGCACTTTACTCTCTATAGACTATAGGAGAGTTCGATTGTTATAAGCTTGTGTATTTGTATTAGGAATTTTGGGACCGTGGAACTAGGTTTGTTTGTGTTTAGTTAAGAGGGAAATATATAGGCCATGGCATGGAGCAGTTTTGTTCCTAAGTACTTGGTTAGAATGTGACTAAAAAAACTTGTAATTTATTCAAGGCTTTAGAAACCAAATACACACAAAAAAAGAATGTCTCATTTTAAAAACACAAAAAGTTTTGGAAAAAAAATCTCAGTCAGAAGAAATATGTTGTTGACTTGAGATCAATTTCTCCTTCTGAGTAAATTCGATATTTTAAAGTAAGAAAATAATTTCATTGAATTTTGTTCTCAGTTTGAAGAATTTTTCTTAAATTAAACTATTTTTGGTATCATTTAGAGAAAACTAGGTTCTAGAATCAAAATTTCGCAATTTATTAGTCTAAGAGCATGAATTTACCAAGCTGAAGTTTCTTGGTTTTAAGACAATATAATAAATAATTCATTTCAAATAATACCGAGTTCAATTCAAATAAACAGAATATTTCAAATCAAAAAAATATTTATTTGTTTTAAACTATCAAGAGTTTTTTTTGAGACTCCCGAGTTCTCATTTTAAGTTTGTTTTCATGTTTTTCATTGGTTCCCTTTGCACGCATGATTTATCTCCAAAAAACTAACAGCAACGATATCGCCTAATCATATGCAGCAGAAAAAGATAGACTATGATGAGAAGTACAATTTATTATTTTTACTACCAAAGTTTTTGCGCCCGAAGCTTCCTTGTCGGCGTTGCTTGGTGTAGACCAGCTTGCAAAAAAATTGTTTTATTTCCGTGGAGTACAGAGTACAGAGTGCAGTGATTTTTGTACTTGAAATGTGAAATGTAAGTAGCTACCATTTTTTATCTCTGCGTATCTATTATGTTTTCAATAAATAACACAGGCCTACAATTTTTTTTTTTTTGTTTTGGTGCAGTTCCGTTCTTATCTGTAGTTGGTAAGGTTGTTGATATATTATTAATCACGAATATTTATTCTCACGAGTCAGTTCGAGTTTAGTACCAATCGTTGTTTTTTAAGTTTTGCGGTCCTACGTGGCAATATTTAAGTTTTACGGTTGTACCGGAGAAAAAAGTGGTTTTATTCCATGATGGCTAGTAGGATGAGGCGTTGTATTAACGACCCTGATCAATTTTTTTACGTTTGTGGTGAATACAGTCTCAAAGATCAGCGAAAAATGATCTCAGATAATGTAATTCGCCTTTATTTTGCTTATTTTGGTATTGAAATTCACGATCAGGATAAATCATGGGTGTCTGATATTGTGTGTAAAATGTGCACTGAACATCTGCGACAATGAGCGAATGGTACAAGGAAATCTTTAAAATTTGGTGTGCCTATGATTTGGAAGGAACAAAAAAATCATCACGACGACTGTTACTTCTGTATGGTAAATATAGTGGGGATCAACAAGAACAATCGCCATAAATGGAAATATCCTAATGTCTCTTCAGCGAGAAGACCAACTCCCCATTCAGAAGATATCCCAATACCAGTTTTTAGGCAGCTATCCGACTCTCAGGAGGGAGAAGTTCAAACATCTAGTGTTTCAAATATGAGCGACTATTCTGAGTATTGCGACGAATCTGTCAATCCGAATCCCATACCATTTTCACAAAGTGAGCTCAATGACCTCATCAGAGACTTAGATCTTTCGAAGGAGCGGGCCGAATTGTTGGCATCAAGATTAAAGGAAAAGAATTGTGTAACCTCTGATGTTAAAGTTACTCTATATCGGAAAAGAGAACAAGACTTATTGCAATTTTTTTCTTCTGATGAAAATTTGGTATATTGTAGCAATGTAAACGGCCTATTAACTTTCATGGGCTTGGAGATATATCAGGCAAGTGATTGGCGTCTTTTTATTGACAGTAGCAAACGGAGTCTGAAGACTGTTCTTCAACATAACGGCAATAAATATGCATCCATTCCAATTGCCCACTCCACTACTATGAAAGAAGAATATCAGACAATCTCCATACTTCTACAGAAAATAAAATACGTTGAACATAACTAGGTGATATGTGTTCACTTGAAGATGGTTAATTTTTTGTTGGGTCAACAGAGTGGCTATACAAAATACCCATGTTTTATTTGTCTTTGGGACAGTCGAGACAAACCAAGATATTGGATCCAAAAAGAGTGGCAAGCACGAGATAGTTTAGTTGTTGGTGAGAAAAATGTTATTAAAGAGCCTTTGGTGCCTCGAGAAAAAATTATCCTTCCGCCCTTGCATATAAAATTAGGACTAATAAAGCAGTATATCAAGGCGCTGGATAAAAATGGTCCTTGTTATATAACTTTATCTGTCAAAAATGTCCTGCAGTGAGTAGTGAAAAATTGAAAGCAGGTATTTTGGATGGACCTCAGATTCGTTTGTTAATGAAAGACTCTGCCAATTTTGAAAAGTTTATGACAGATATTGAACGACATGCCTGGAAATCTTTTGTAGCTGTTACCAATAATTTTCTTGGGAATGTTAAGGCTGCAAACTATGAAGAGATTGTTACTGAAATGCTTCATAACTTTCAAAATTAAGGCTGTCATATGAGCATGAAAGTACACTATCTCCATAGCCACATAGATCAATTTCAACATAATTTGGGAGATCTCAGTGACGAGCAAGGAGAACACTTTCATCAAGACATAAAAAATATGGAAAAAAGATATCAAGGGAGGTGGGACATCCATATGATGGCAGACTATTGCTGGGGTCTTGAACGTGATTGTCCAACACGAAAGTTTTCGAGAAAATCACTTAAAAGACAATTTCTTGATGTAAAAAATTGAAATAGAACGATTTTTTCGTAAAATTGCATTTTTTTTATATTGCATGAACTAAAACTGATGGGAGAAAAACAAAAGTGGTTTTCCAATCACATTATTAGGCATACCCAAAATTAGGTCTCACATCTCTGGCACCAAATTGAGTGTAGGCCTGTGTAATGTTTCTTGCGGGAAAATGCTTTGATGTACCTGAAGGTTTATAGCCACTGATCTGCCCTTGGCTTGGGTCGCGATCGCCATTTTTTTTTTCTTCATGCAATAGGTATATTGCAGAGTGGTTCGAGTTCTCCTAAAACTCTATCCATTATTGTGTTTTTTTGTAATATATAAGTATTACAAGGATAAGGTGTCCCGAAATTCATATTTTTGAAAATTTGAAATAAAAATTTGAGGGTTTTGTAATTTTTCTACACAAAATTTAACTTTGAATTTTTTATAGTAGATCAATTAATGTTTTCACTTTTACTTTTTGACCCATGTAAGAATACCGAATTCAAACTTAAATTGGAGTATTTACTCCCAAACTGGGACAACCTGCATATTATCGTACAATTATGTATTTGACTATTTGGGCCGACCTAATTTTTATTATAAAATGGGTTCGTTAGTAGTTAGTAGGTATTTTTTCACTAGATTGTTTGTGATATCTTATGTCTTATTACCTAGGTACCTATGGTTTGGTCACCAAATGTTACTAAGAGTATAAGTCGACCGACAAAATCAGGATAGGAATAGTATAAGTCTACTTGTATTATTTGAATTTTATTAATAGTGTATATGTTACTGTAAATGCCCGAAATTCGGTAAAACTTAGGATAAGCGCGCTAAACCTAGTATTTACCAAAAACAAGTAGTAAAAGCCCGAAAACTA